AGAAAGTGAGAAATCACCCTCCAGGGGGGATGGTCACGCCGCAATCCCTTCTCCTCCATTCTCCTCTCGGGATCTTGGGCACGCATGCACACGCGCCCGGCATGAGTTTTAAGCCACCGGGTCCGGGACACGAACCGCGGTCGACTACGTGGGAGTCCAGCGACATAGCCATTACGCTAACTGCTGGTTCCCAGCCTCTTCCTCTTTTTGACTTCAGGCTAACCACCATCTCCTGGGGGCTTCAGTTTCTCTTTGGTCACTGTGGTAGACAACCTCGCAGCTCCACCAGCCTCGGCAAGCCCAAGCTACTTCAGTCTGGAATCTTTCTAGGGGCTTTGTCCAGGCAGGTGTTGAAATCCTGCATCTACAGTTCACTGGCTGTGTGACCTTGAGCAAAGTCACTCTGTTTCTCTAAAGGTTGGTTTCCTTCCTTCCTTCTATTCTCCCTCCCTCCCTCCCTCCTTTCCTTCCATCTTTCCCTCTCTTTTCTTCCTTTCTTTCATGAGAGAGACAGGTAGGTACCTTGACAGGGTCTCACCACGCCGCGATCTCCCCTCCCTGCAGTCTTCCAGCCAGTCAAGATCATGAGTGTGCCTGGCATTCTCAGACCAACCTGGGATCCAAACCTAGGCCTTCCCAATGGCTGCAGCGTCTCACAGCAGCGCCCACCACCTGAGCCTACCACGCTGGGCCTCATGCTTGGTGTCTATGTCCACAAATGGGGATCATAACAGAGACAAACTTGCCAACCAGTAGGGGTTATTTAGAAAGTGCCTTGAGTTCAGTGGCATCGACAAAGAATTATGATGGTAATGTTTATGATTACCACTTTGGACATGGCCAAGTGGCCGGAGGTCAGGAGTCAGCCTGGCAGGAGCTGAGGACTGGTCTGAGAGAGGGCCACTCTCCAGTGGATTCAGAGAAATGGACCTTCTAACACCGTGTAAGCTGGCACGTGGAAGTTCTGCTTTGTCTGGGGCAAATACTGCTGAGGACCCTGTGGAGGGTGCCCCTCTCTATCTCTCTCTGTCTCTCATCTCTCTGTCTCAGGCACATGCATGCACTATATCACGAATAAAGAAAAAAAAAAGAAGGGAAGATGTTTGGGCATAATGCAGTAAGGGCCATACTCTACTCCTCTGTCCACACCACAAAGGTAGCCACTTTCTGTTCAAGGATGTTCAAGGGTGAGGTGGGGGTGTAGGGCTGACACTGGCTCACTGAATTGAGCTCTCCAACTCCAGCTGCGTTCTCAAACCCATGGCTGCTGTGGGCATCCGGGAACAGGGAGGCAGGTGCTCTGCAGTGGTTAAGAAACTAGGCCTTCATGAATGACTCTGCCTCTCTCTACCAGAAATGAAAGTCCTTGGGTCCCCTAGGGAAGCGGGTCTTGCTGCAGAAGCCTCTCAAATCTGGACTCCTGCAGCCAGCACTATCACTCTCTTGCAGTTCAGCTTCCCTGACTCCTGGGACATGAGTGGTCCGGTGAACTTGGGGGAGCTCCAGGTCTCTTCTCTTATTTTCACCAGAGAAGGGCTGGTGGCAGTCTGGACAAGGCATGCATTTTGACCAGGGATGCACATGACACATGGTGGCAGGGATGGAAGTTGACCCTGGGCCTCTGGACTCAAGCTCTAAGCCACTCTTCCCACTCTGGGATTTAGGGAAGGTCAGGGGTTGCCACTGGGCTTGCATCAACCCCGGACAGCACTCATGTAGGTGCAGCACCTGACCTGTGTGCACTATTGAGGGAGGTTTATGACAGAAATTCTCTTGCGGGTTCTTCCTGAGGATTAGCGAGAAGTGTGGGAGCTTCAAAAAGTTCATGGAAATGGAATTAGTTCAAGAATTTATTTGGTGCAAAAAATTTTGAAATCCCTTGCAGTTTTTTTTTTTTTTAAATAATGCATATCTCCATGAACTCTTTAAAGACCTCTTCATACATAAAAAGTGCTGGCAAGTGCCTTATAATTGAATCATTATGGAGAATAATTGCTATAATTATGTCTTGCTGTGACCAGCACAGTTTGAGGACACAGAGCTGGATTGAGTCTGCTCAGCCATTCTGTGTGAGATGGGCCTCAGCTTCCTCAGCTATACGATGGAGCCCAGGTTAGTAGTTCTGGTCCTAACAAGCCATCCCTTGAACAGGAAGTGGCTACCTTTGTGGTGTGGACTGAGGAGTAGGGTACGGCCCTTACTGCACTATGCCCAATCTTCCCTTCTTCTTCTTTTTTTTCCTTTATTCTGTCTATCAGGTAGGCCGCATACACCTGCATGCATGTGCATGAGACATAGAGATGAGAGACAGAGATAGATAGAGAGGAGCACCCTCCATAGGGTTGGTCATGCCATGGTCTCCTTCTTCCTGTCCTCCAGCCTGCTGGATCTTGAGTAATCATGCACAGCCTGGTGTATTTCAGGTTGACAGGGCTGGGGATTAGAACCACAATTGCCAGTGGGAACCAGCCTCTCTTGAGTAATATATTATGCCACACTAAGGCACTGGCCCTAAACTTTATTTTTTTCTTTTGTAAAGACAGTGATTGGGACAGCCAGGTGGCACAGAGGTTAAGATGGCTGGAACCCATATGGCCAACTGCATGATTTGAGTCATGAACCCAGCGGCTTGAGAAACATGTTGGGCACATGTGCATGTGTGCCTGAGAGGAGAATGGAGAAGGGATTCAGGGTGGCCATCCCCCTTTGGGGTGATTTCTCATGTTCTCTCTCTTTGTCTTTCTCTGGTGAGTACGTTCCCTATAGCAAAACTTAGGGGAAAAAAATAGGAGAGAGAGAGAGACAGTATCTTATTAGGCTGCCCAGGCTGGCCTTAAACGCACAATCCTCTTGCCTCAGGCTCCCAAGGAGCTGGGATTACAGGCCTGTATCTCCATGCCTGGCTTTCCCTTCCCATTTTTTCAATGGTGGATGAAATCCCCACTTCAGGTTTAGGGAATAAGCCAAGCACAAGACTAAGGTCTTTGGAAGCTTGAATTGCCTTGTTATTATTATTATAATGATTATTTCTAGTCACCTCGACCTTGAGGCAATGGGAATATGAAAGGGTAAGTTTTGATGAGGGAATGTTCTGGAGAATGGGACACCTCGGTGGAATCTCCTGCACCCCAGGCACAGAAAAGTTGTCGTGGTACAGAAAGAACGGTCAATGGGTGGGAATCAGCCCTTGCCAGCTGGGCCAGCTCCAGGATTGAGTCTCAGCCAATTCAACAAGGATTTATCAGGCCTGAGATGCATAAGACGCTGTGGTGGAGACGAAAGAGTTGGGAAAAAAGGAGTCCTAAGCCACTTACCGATGTGTAGCACACTGTCAGTACATTCACCACATTAGCTCACCGAACCCGCTCTGAAACCCAAGGAAGGAGGAGTAATGATCTCCCTTTAGACTGAGGAAACTGAGGCTTGGAGAGGGCAAACTTCTTGCCTAAAATCACGCAGATGGTGGTGAAACCCTCAGAGACTCTGTTAGGCTCCCTAAAGTAGGTCCACAACTCCTGGCACTGAATCAACCCAGCCCCCAATCTCTGGGCTCCTGTTTTAGTGGTTTTACAGGGGTGGGGGTAGGGCAGGGCAGAACCTTCTAAAAACATCACCTTCAGGTTGGTACCTGAACTTCCTCTTCTGCCCATGCTAGGTGGCCTGCTGAGTGACCCAAGAATATTTTCCAA